TGGGCCCAAAGTCAAAGGTGCTACCGACTGAACCACCCACTTGCTGTGTTGATTGATGTTGCTAAAAAAATTAAAGGCAATTGTAGTATAAGTAATAGCAAAGTATTGAAATGTAGTTTTAAGTATAAAATACTTAACTAAAAATTTTATAAATTTTTAATAATCATTTTCAGTCTTGTGAAGAGGGTATCATCAAATTACGAAATGGAGTTTCGAACCCCCAGACACCAATATACTACTTGGTCAATCAGATCCTGTACCCTGTCGTTCAGGGATGTGAAACAAAGGATCAAAGGATTGTTAAGGTAAGCCCACCACCACCACCACTTTATATTACCAACTTAATTCAAACAAGACAACGTTTCTTCAGTGTAATAGGCCCCTAATCTAAAGTTGGAATATTTATTTTTATAAAATCAAATTAAATTGTCTTTATTACTTTATTTCATAGTTGTTCATGGAATGGTGTCGAAAACTTTATCTAAAACTTAATTAAAGAAAATTTAAAATAGAAACTTTCGTGACTATAAAAAATAAAACACCAATTTGGCATAAGCTATATCATATGTTCCTCTAAAGTGTGTACAGGTAGTGATAACAAGTGGTACTTAAACTGTTTGATTTTTCATTTAAAAAATTATTTTCTTTCTTAATTTGATTAGGCAGTTTAATAAAAATTTACCTCTAGCATAGGTAGTTTTTTCATCCAGGATAAGTTTAGTCATCAACAGGAGCTGCGATAGTACCCCTATTTCTAGTATTGTAGTAGTGGCATTACCCTAATAGATGTCAATCTGCAAATGTTGCCTACAATACATGATTAGGCCTACTTCATAAATGTGCACACTTTATAAAATCATTATTCCGGGAGGTTTTGAACTCCTCCTTGGCGGCGTCTCTCCATCATTTAATTATTTTCCTCATTGCTGGGCTTTGTAAAATTAAAAGCCTATCTAAGTTTCTTTTACTTGTAGCTCTGTAAATCCAGTATACCAAAGTTTATATTTGAATGAATTGAATATTATTATATAACTTTTAGTGTTTCAAGACCACAAAGGTTGGATAGGTTATACAACGCATTCAAACCCAAAGTGACCTTTTTAGCTACTTGTTCAATGTGTAAATCCCAACTTAAATTTGCTACTCATAACATTGTGTCCAACTTAAATTGAACCATGCTTTCAATTACTGAATGTTATTTTGATGTGCAATCTTCTAGGTTAACTTGTGTAATGTGTGTATACAAGGGACAAAAGTATTAAAAAGCCTGAAATTGTAAAAATGAAATATTGTTTGAAGTTGATTATCTGTTTGGTAAGATCTCAGAGGTGTTGTTACAATAAAGAAATTTTGTAATATTTTAATTCTTATATTAATTGCCGATTAATCCAACAGAAATGTTTTGGAGACAGCTCAACCTGTAAATAAAATATCACAACTATTTGGACCTTCCCAAGTTCACTGAATTACTAAATTTTTTTTTCAAAACCTAAACTCAGTCCCCGTAACTTAATCCTTCTTTTTATATCAAGTTTTTATCTTTTAATCCACTCACATAACTACACAATACAGCTTAATTCAAAGATAGTAGGCCTACTCAATAATGAAAGGCTTGAAACCATAATTAATAATTTGTGAATTTAGTCATTCTTAAAAAAATATCTGGATTGGGACTTCAATATTTAAACCAAACATTAAATTGAGATGAGCCAGTTACATTTCACGGTACTGTACTTTGTGACTTTGGGTTCAATAGCGGTTACAGTATCTCTTATGATGAATAGCTCCAGCGAGAAAAAGATATCATTATAGCCTCCTCTCCTGTTTTTGCAGCAGAATTGTCAACCTCCCACGTTTGATGAGACATCTTCAGTAATTGCAATGACATCAGGAATTTTCATTCCCACAATCTTCACAGACACTTTGCGATTGTGATAGTATCACAAAGATTAAAGCTTGACTTGGCTCTATGTTCAGACTTAGTCCTCAATCACTCAAGCTTTTAGACTCTGCTTGGCTTAAAAACAAGCTGCTTGAAAACTCTCAGTATCTTAACCCTGAGGGAATTCTGAATCACATCAATCTAGCTAGGGTCTGTCAACCAAACGTGGCAACATTAGGAACATTGCTGTGATCTCCCCACATTGCTCCGTCTGTGTTTGGGATCTCTCTTTAGTGTGCTGTGGTGCCGCTGCGATTCCGTCTTAACTAGGCCTAAGATCCTTCATCCTTATCAACATTACAAAAATATGAAAATAGGACTTTGAAAACCTGTGAATTTTCTTTTCAAGTTTGTGTGGAGACCCAACCTAATCTGATGTCCTCTATGAGTTTTGTGTAATACAGAATTTTCATTCGATTTAATTTTATTCATTTTTTAAAGACTTTTTGTTAGTGATTATAAGTTTTAGTTCCACCCAAGTTTGTTTGGTATATTTTTACTTTTAAAAATAAACATAGCTGTAAACATTACAACAAAATGTGGTCTTAGTTTAGTGAAAAAATAAATAAATAAAATTAACTATATCATCTTATGTTTCTAAGACCTGTACTGCACACAGAATTTTCTGGGGAAACAGTCGTAACAAAAGTGATGTTTTTTCCTCCTTTTTTCAGAAAAAGGCACTTAGTATATTGACCCTATTAGCTCTTAAAGCACATTGTACACTTTGGTTTACCACAACAAAGATTTTTACTGGCATTAACCTGTATATAAATGTGTGTGTGTGCGTGTTTACTTGATGTTAGATCAAAATTAAAAGACTTGGCTGTTAAAAATTATTCCCATTATCATTTAACTTGATCCGACTCACTACTTAAAACTCCATCACACGGAAAAAGTAAATGTGACAGTAACCACTCAATGATGAGTTCAAAGTTGTTCAATGCACTGCATTCTGAAACAAGAGCGTTGCCTGAGTCTGTTTTTGAAAGATAAGTTTAGATTATATAACTGGCTGGTTAAACATTCTTTTTATGGCATTAATGAGTATTTTGATGTAAAAAGTTGTTAAGTTTCGAGGTTTTAATGGTTTAGGAGTATATTCCACTTAGCCTATAGCCTACTTTTAACTTTTTAACTGTTGCCTTTTAAATGTCTGTGATATTAGCTTATTAACCCATTCTTGACTAGTTTACTGTGTAATCACTTGTTTCTAATCTTTGTTACCATAATATGTTTTATATCGACCATGTCTATTGCTTTGTTATGCCTAATAACAATTAATGATTTGATTTGAATGTAGATTGAAGTATAGTTCGGGCATCTGGCTGGGAAAAGAAATTCCCTGTTTTAACATCTTACTTTGATGTAGATGTGCCTGGGATAATCCAAAGGCTGATCACAAACCAAGTTGTGGACCAGAAGGGAGCAAGATACATCACAGATACCTTGTGGATGTTGATGGAGTCAGGGACAGAAGAGGTCAAGATCCTACAGTCAGTCACGCTGCTGTTGACTACCAACACTGTCGTACATGGGGATACACTAGCCAGGGTAAAAATACAGTAGAAACAACCTAGCCACTACTGCTTAGAATTCGCCTCTTAGATTTAAAACTACAGTAGAGCGTTGATTATCCAAAACAATCAAGGCAGAGGGGTGTTCCGATAATTGATTTTTCAGATAGTCGGACATGAACTAAAATTACAATATTTTCTTGTCAAGCGTGTGACAAGCCTTCTTTCCTAGTGGGTAATATTTTTGTTATTTGGCCGGGCACCGATTGTTTGGGTAAGCAAGCGTTGGCGGCGAAGCGAGCTAGCACCCTGTGACCCTGCTCATCGGTCCCGATAAGCCTAGGGTATCCTGGAACTTCAGGATAGTCTAGAACAGAAATTCGAATCGTGGATTTGGAGCAGTGAGTTTGTGTCTGGTGGAGACGTCGTCGAGTGTTAGTGGACAGTGGACATTTTAGTGTCGTTAGTGTAATCATACAGAGTGGTTGGAGTTTAAGTTGGGTACAGACTCCACTAGTGGTGAGTGACAACGTCCCTTATATTTTGGTTTAAGAGTTGATATTTATTATTAGTAATATTAATCTCTGATTTTATTGGTCTGTTTGTAACCGTGCTGGTCTAATCCTGATGGTAGCTAGGATTTACAGGTGTCAGAAATAATATTGAAATATGTTCCTCTTGGTTCTGGGCAAGTGTCAAACCGCAGATAATATATATTTCTTGTTTTTGGTAGTTATATTGCTTTGTGCCACGAGTTAATGGCTTTACTGGTAACTCTGAGGCCCAACAGACCTAGGCTACCGGATTTGGAGTGTATAGTTGACCGCAAGTGGCCAGTAGGCTTGTAGATATATTACAATTAGCCTAGTAAATAGAAGTTCCCCTAATCAATATCACGTTGATAGCAGCAGTAGTGGTATTACTGTTTTTACTTAATAAATATTTTATGGTTTTAATTTACCAAACAGCTTGTTTCTGGATCCAACTCGTTATCTTTGTAGCTTGGATATTGTAGTAGGCCTACCCGCTATTTTTTAGTGTTAAATTTAATACACTGCTACTAAGTAGCTCAATAATTTAGTAGTAGTGCAACTGGCATTTAGTTTTGCCTTTTGGCCTGGTATTTATTGAGACCAGCAACTTAATACTTTTAATTGAAATGGCGACCATACAAAGTAGGTATTTTAAGCCATGAAAGGAGATGAGTGTACGATGAGTGGCGTGATCTTGTAGTCTTGTTCGTGACTAAGTCCGACATATTCCTTAGACACAGCTGTTAATTAATAGCCCATACAGCTAAAATGGCAACTAGTTGTTAAGTCACTCTGCCTAAAAGTATAATTTTTTATTATTTGGTATTATTGTAGCCTATAGTGAGTGAAACTACTGTATGATTGTTAGCTTGGGCATATTAGAGTTGTGTATTGGATTAGACCCCGCCTGGTAATAACGTTCGTTGTGGTTTTTATTGGCAAGTTGTCTTGTCACTTACATGATTTTAGGCACTCTGGGCATTAAGTCCGAGTTGCGTGGTCAGCAACGACCCCGTAGGAGAGTGGAAATCGGCCTAGGTCTGGTGGTGATTATTGCACAATTGTTTGGTGACTGGTTTTTAATTGTTCACAGTGCCCGCTGCCCGTGTATGAGCCAGCCCTATACCGGTTAGACCCGGCTTTTGGCCCAGTGGTTCCCTTATCGCATACCCTGAAACTTAACCCAGCCATTGTATGCTGAGCTATCCTAGGCAAACGTTTGCAACTGTGCACATAATATTTTTCAGTACAGGAAAAATTCATCGCAAGCATACATAAAATCCTTCAAGCATGGAAAAAATTATAAAAATTTAGCTACAAACAACATATACGATCATTGTATAAGCTTTAGAATACTGTTACTACCATGATATTGCCGAGATCGGCATATCTGATGATTGTCTTTAGTAACTGCACATCTAGCAATAAAGCATAGCAGTACATGATTGTCGAGTTCCCAACAATAAACTCACAAGCTAAGCTTGAACCACTTGTATAGTTTTTCAGCTGATCTAATATTTTAAATTTGTCAGATATACTAAGTACAACCTGTTTTATTTTTGCTGACATTGCTCTAACCCACTGTAAATCAAAATGCAAACCAAAAACATCACATACTTAAAACAACGATCGCTGATGTCACTTACACAATGTGAAATTATGTGTATACATGTAGGGCCTACATGACAGCACTATCATTGTTTCCCGCAAAGCTTTGCGCCATGTGCGCTCTTGCTCCTGGGCCACATTTGTAATGTTGGCATGGCAGTAAATTTGAATCTACCGTGCCAGCGATTTCAGCCAACCAACGTTTTAGATGACAGGCATTCGGATAATCAGCGCTCTACTGTAAGTGTATAAACAACTGCTACTTTTAGGTAGCAAAGTTACAATCAGCCTGTAACGAACCAAGCAAAGGTTAAGTGTAGCTGCTACTAAGCCTAGTTGCATCTACGTTTCAAATAGTAACTTGCTACACTCATGTATATATGTTTTTTTGTATACCGACTCTGTAGCTTATACGAATTTACTATTGATTTTGAGAATTAGTAAGTGTTTGAACTAGATAGATTTGAAGATCGCTTGAAAAGTTTCTAGACCATACATTTTTTGTTAACAATAAAAATATTATTAACTTATTATGTATATATGGTACTATGGTCTATAACTGTTTTACAAAAAATCAGTTAAATTCTGTTATAGAATTTAGTCCTGTGCTTCCGCCTTCACTTCACCAAAGACTCCACAACGATAAACACAGCAGGGGCCACTGTGAGACAGTTGGTTTCTCTGGTGTTTGAACGAGTCATTGCCGAGGATGAACATTTCAAGACGCAGGACACTCCAGCCGTCGAGGTCAACTTTGAGGAGCTCAAGATCCCTCGCAATGTTGCCCCAAAAGGCCTACGTCCCTGTGCTGGCGATGCTTACCTAATGTTTCAAGTAAGAGCCTAACTCTAGTATCTCAATGTCTTGTTAGGCCTAATTAGTCCACTAAACTCAGGGAGTTTAATTTAAGCATTGAAGCTTAAATTTAAATCTAAAAAAACATGTTTTAATAAAAATTAGGTCATACACGATGCTCCATAAGTTATCCATTTTCTCTTGTGTAAAAAAAAAAAACTTTAATAATAAGATTAAATAATTTCCAATTTTTTTATAATTTAAAGTATGTTCCTGTTATATGAATGTCAAATATGAACATTCCTTAAACTGTCATTATTTTAAGAGAAAAAAAAGTATTAAAAAATGATGTTTATAAGAATAATACATTTTTATAATGAACCGCATTGTTTATAATTTTACACAAAATAGGTCTGATTCTTTTAATAAAGGTAAAGAAATATCAATCAAATAAAAAGTCAAACATAAACATGTTTAAGAATGCTATTTAAGACTTTGATTAAAAAGCTCTAAGTGATGAGTTTTTTCTTAAAATTGTGAACATTTTCAGGATTTAGTGCAACTAGTCAATGCAGATCAGCCGTTTTGGTTGGTTGGGATGACAGAAATGACAAGGACCTTCGGTTTAGAGCTGCTAGAGTCAGTTCTCACAAATTTTTCTTCTGTATTCTTCAAGGTAAGAACTTCTTCGCCCTGTATCAAATCAATTACAGTCTAGCCTTGATATAACGAACCTCGATATAACGAATTCCTTGATATAACGAATATTTTTTAATCCCCTAGAACTCTCCATAAGACACAATGTATATTTTACCTCTACATAACGAACAAACCATAACAACGACCTTGATTTAACGAATTTTTCATGATTTCGGCTAAAATAATACACCTCAATATAACGAATTTATCATTGTCAGAACCTCTACATTGCGAATTTAACCTCTGCATAACGAATTGTCTACGTCTTTCCCTCGATATAACAAATCCCCCACCCAATTATTGTTTTGGGAAAATATGTTTCTTTATCAAATTAAGTGGAAAGGTCACGTCATCGCTTGCGCTAACATTCGTCTGCTCCGTTTTACATCTTTGTCTGCCGTCGCTGCGCGCGCTATGTTGCAACTGAGAACTGATTTCATTCACTGAGGACTGATGACGACGTAATTTTTAGTAAGCTGTGATTGGGCGATATGGGATAACTATGGTGAATTGTACAATTTTTGGATAAAGAGAAACCTAAGAAATAATATAAAAACAAAACCAAAGAGAAAGAATAGCAACATCGTTATTTTAACATTCCTTTTACGAGGGTTTTTATTATCCTTAAGTTGGCTATGATTATACACTTTTATAATGACTTATCTAATAATTGATTGTTTTCAATACGATTTGTTTCAACTAGCAACACCAATACTATAGTTAATGATTATTATTGACATTCCTCTGTTGTGATAAATCAGTACTGTACTGTAAGTAGCCTACCGGCCTATCGCGAGCAGTAGCTTACAAAACTTTCTACTGTTTTGTTTTGTTCTTTACATGGTTTATGACTACGCAATACAGTGTTTGGCTAGGATTTAGGAGGGTTAGAACAAGCTATGATTTTAAACCACGATACCTGTACCAAGGTGTCTTTTAACCTGTACCAAGGTCAATGCCATTTTCATGATTGCGCAATATTCAAGATCCTTCCCCTTTATTATGCCGGATAATTTAGGCTCTACTGTACAATGTAAACACAGTACTGTAAAGTATTGTAGCCTATGCTAGTTTGATTGTATTTTAATGAGGTCAAATCCCGATCTATATTGGCCGACACTGGTTCTGAACCTCGACTTAACGAAATTCCTGCAAACCTAACCTCTATATAACGAACCTCGTTTTAACAAAATCCTTGATATAACGAATATTCAGTTCGGTCCTTTCAGATTCGTTATACTGAGGTTGGACTGTATTTATTTAAATAACATATGTACCAATAGATTTTGTTGACTCTTAGAGAGCTCTCCCTTCTAAATCAAAACCACTCAGATAGATATCATCAAGACAGTCAATTGGCAAGGCACTAATTTGGCATCCAAGTTAACTATGATTAACCAATGTATATTTAAGAGACATGTATACAAAATTTAATAAGGCTGCAATAAAAATGCTCTGAAGACAGACTAACCTTTATTGTTGTTCAAAGGTTTATTGCGGACATTTTCCATCACGATTGTAAAAAACAATACACAACATCCTCAGGTGAAAAACCCTGATTAACCTTTATTTTCGATAACTATTTTAATTGAGGTTACATGCAATTGAATAATGAAGCTTATAACTGGGTAAGAATTTTTCTAGCCCTTATTTACATCTACATGAACAACCACCAAAAAACACATTTTTGTTTTTTGTCTGGGGGACAATATATTGGATACAAAATATATCCTAGCTGTAGAAAGGGTGTTTAGCAAGCCAAACAGTTTGTTTCAAGAACATACTTTTTTCTGTTCTTGTTTTGTCAAAACTTTGTTTCAAGCGCTTACAGCTTCTTATTAGACACAAATCTTTATAATCTATATCTATATTCTATCCTGCCAAAAAAAAAATAGTCCTTTTGTATTTGGTTAAACCAATAAGTACCTTAAAAAAGTCTTAATGATTTGCAGAGTAGTAACTGTTTGAAAATTGCTAACCAATAAGACTTGATGGGTTGTATATTATTTTTCAAAAATTATCTTTTTATTTGTCATCCCCCATAATTTTAAGAATTTTGATCCAGAATATAACAATTAATTACAGTTATCATCATAAGAATCCGACTTTCAAATTCTTTAAATGACCATTTTTTCATCCGACATATTTTCTTCAACAAGCTACACACTTGTTTTCTTAAACCACTTTTAAGATTACTGAGTTTTTAAAATCAAAAGCTTTCTACATTCAGGAAGAATGTTTACATAGTGACATTTCATGTTTGGAATCTAAATAGGGTGTTGTATGTATTGAAATTTATAACTGATATGTGATACTATTTTTAAGTACTATTGTTACAATGCCTATTACAAAATGTTATGTTTAATGGCTTCAATAAATCTTGTTTGTTATTATGACTCTTATTGAAGTACAAAAGATGTTTACCTTGTGTTTTGGTTTTTGGAGCCAGATCAATTGTAAAAACTCAATTTTTTGTGATATGTAAAAAAAATATTTTTAATAATTTCTTAAATAACAAAAGCTCATCTTAACATGATCTTTTAACTAAGTATTTTGGCATGTTTCAGCACCCGGAGTTCAGTTTTCTTCTGAAGGAGAGAGTGTGTGCATTGGTGATTAAGTTGTTTTCTCCAAATATTAAATACCGCAACTCAATGCCAGCAAGCGTACAACAGGCAACGCCACATGACAAACCGTATTTCCCCATCAGTGTTCGCCTTTTACGAGTAGTGTCTGTACTTATACAGAAGTACCATAGTCTACTGGTAAGTCAACACCTATTACAGTAGAACTCCAATCATCGGGATTAATTGGGACCGGATATTAAAACGGGTTTAAAATGCCGTAAGACATTTGACTAGCATTGGTACTAGACATTTGACTCGATGCCCCTCAGTCGATAAGTTGCTTTATCCAAGCAGTCTTTTGTCAGATGTTTGGTTTGCATCTTGTAAAATACAGTTTTGTTGCTCAGCATGCTCTTTAGTAGACAGAATTGTCACTGTGTGAGAGTGTAAAGGTGTAGTATTTTTCTATGAAAGGAGTTTGTTTACATTCCAGAAGTACCTAAAAGGTTCCAAAATAGCACTTCCCTTTAGCGAATTTTCCATATAGGGAATAAGCTATTACCATAGGTCTCATGGTAAGACCTAGACCCGGGACCAATTTACTTTTTCCTTTTGGGGTCCCTAGAAGCCAAAAACACCATCTGTTTGAATTCATATATACAGGGTGACAAAAAAGTCTGGAAACGGCTTGATATCTTTCGTTAGAATATTCAAACTTTCACATCAACTTATATGTATGAAAACTACTTTTTGCAAGCATTATCATTTGTTTACCTTCCCTAGGGGCCCAAGAAGAGTAGGTACGGTACATTATCTTTAATGTAAGCATAGGTTGATATGCACATCATTTTAAAGGGTTAGTCAAGTGGAGTTCATTGCCGGAAACCGCGTCTCAAAAGGTTCATCCGTTACAAAATGGCGGCAGTCCAAAGTTCTTGTGGAATATACCTGCACATGCCTTAGTTTTGGTAAATACTCATATTCAACATTAGCCAGGAAATCTGAAACCCAGTTAAATTTGTTTTGAAGATTGAATAAACTTAGTCTATGAGCTAGTTGACTTTAAAATACAATTTCATTATTTACCAGTATTTACCAATACTAAGGCCTGTGCAGGTATATTCCACAAGAACTTTGAACAGCCGCCATTTTGTAACGGATGAACCTTTTGAGACGCGGTTTCCGGCAATGAACTCCACTTGACTAACCCTTTAAAATGATGTGCATATCAACCTATGCTTACATTAAAGATTATGTACCTACTCCTTTATGGGGGTTTTATGGGGTAAAAATTAGTTTTTTGACTCTAACATGATATAATTTTAAAATTTCTTTCATGGTTCTTTTAATTCATTTTGTAGAGCTTAAAAAATAAATAATTTTGTATATTGAAGCGTTATTGTATGCCTAACGGTTATGGAGATAATTTAAAAAACTTTAAATTAAAAACTAACATGTTATTCTTATGAAGAATAAATAAACTGTTGTAGTTTGCTTGTTTATGGATATATATCGATCAAATTTGGCAATTTTGTTTATTTCATACTAAGCTATCCAAATTTCAATAAAAACACATCTTTCCTGTAGCAGCAAACCTAGGTACTCGTTAAAGTTAATGTAATTTAAATAGGAAATCTGACAATTTTCATGGAATATTTTAGTATAAATCCAGCCAGGTAAATGGACATTTTCTTAGTTTGAAGGTTTGCTGCGGCGGGGGTATTTTCATTTTATTCTTTGTCTGAAGATTATTTAATTTAATTTGGACTGTTATTCATCTGGATGACTTGGACCACAATTAGTCCTGATAGTTACAGTTTTCAATACTTAATTTGAAAAAAAAGTTGGCTATCATCCTAAATTGTTTCAATTTACTTAATTTCTCAAAACTTGATTCTATTGAAGGGTTTTGTTGTCCATTTTAGAATTAAAACTGATAGTTTCATTAAATAGGTTTGGGAAACATGTATGTGCACCTCTATTACATTACGTGTTAATGGGTTACACCAGGAAAACCAAACCCTGCACGCCTCTATATGTAATGACAGTACACTTTGCTGTTGATATTAATTTTTCCTGAAACCCTGAAATAGAATATTTGATATTTTGGGGGGAATTCCGTAAAGTGACACCTCATTTAAAAAGACTATCAGTTAAAAAGAATAACAACAAAAATAAGAAATCTCTATTTTAACACATTGCAGAATGGTAACCATTTTAATTTTTTATCAGTCCAAGAGACCCCAAAAGTTGTCATCAGAATCCATTATCTGGTTTTTAATGAGCTGTGCCAGGAAAACTAAACTCAGCATTACCGCAACAAGAAACTAAAAAGTACTTTTTGGCCGGTAAGGCACTTTTGCCTGGGACACCAAAACGGGGTGATTTTGGAAGTAGCTCAAAATTTTTGGATATAATACCCCATCAAGTGACACCTCTTTTTAAAAGACATCAACAAGAATATCGGCAAAAACTATAGGTCCCTATCTCAACCAAGTACAAAATGGTGTTAGTTTTTAGTTTTCATTTATTGGGAAGAGAGTTGTGTTCAGAGATGTATACTTCCTATAACAAAACTCATTGTCTTTTATCTGTCTCAGATAACAGAGTGTGAGATCTTCCTCTCGCTGATAGTCAAGTTCCTGGACCCAGACAAGCCCATGTGGCAGCGTTCTCTCGCTCTGGAGGTGCTACACAAACTAGTTGTACAACCAGAACTACTCAACGCCTTCTGTGAGTGTTACGACCTCAAGACCCACACGACCAATATCTTCCAGGACATTGTCAACTCCCTGGGAGCCTATGTCCAGTCCCTCTTCATGAATCAGCTGATGAACCAATCATCCCTAGGAGGTAATAGATAGAACTTATTTATTTCATGGTAGTAGCCTACCTATTGTTCTTTTCTTGTTTTGCCTGTTAAAAAAACCAATTGAATTCATTTGTCATTTGTGGAGATATTATGTACCGATCAAATATCTTTTTATAGTTATGAATTATCAAATTTAATTTAATCTAGTAAAAGTATTTTGTACTTGAAAATTACCAGTTTACCGATCAATTACCAATAACAAAACAGGAAACCATGACCAATTAGAACTCAATAATTCATAGAAAAGTAGTGGGGACAAATTTGAAAAGCTTTGGTAGGGCGAGGGACAGTTTTGAGTTTATTCTGGCTGTGACCTGGGGCTAGGGAACATCACATCATGCATCTAGAGGGGAAAAGATTTGATGATTTGGAAGAAACTAAATGATGTAGAACTATGATGTAGAAACTAAATACTAAAATTGGGACAGTTAACATGAAGGCTAAATTCACATGGTTTCTTAATTTGTTCAAAAAGAAGTAGGGATTGATTAAAAGTATGTTTTTATTTGTGTACCATCTTAAATTGTTAAATTATTAACTACTGTAAATTATAATTCATGTTCTCATTCTGCCTTTTTATTGTTTTCCTTTCATATTCTGAATCATTCGCAGTTAAAAATTAAGTATGGTTCAAACCATGCCAGCAATTTTGATTTTGAGACGGGATGGGAAAGAATGCTTTTGTCTTTTGATTACGGAATGCTATAGTGATAAAGTAATTTCTGTATTGGGAAACAAAATATTTGTAGGTGTACTTTTAAGGTGGTTTCAGTACAAACAAATTACATTCTACATTGTGAATACCTATTTAATAACTAAATAATAAATATAGTAACTAGAACAAAAAATAAGATGTTAGAAATATAATATATTTTAGACATTTCTTCGTTAACGTAGGCCTAGAGGTAACAAAAGCTTAATAGAACTATACAAATTTGTAAGTCACACTATTAAACATTATTGAAGATAAATGTGATGAAGCCTTTTTTCTCTGGAAGCTTTTGATATCAGACTATTTGTGAGTATCTCCAGCAACTGTGGCAAAATTATCTTTGTCTCAGTCTTTTAGCTAAAAGGATTCAAAAGGGGTAGAAACATTACACAAAATTAATTGCACATTGTTTTTATCACTCAATGATGAAATATTGTAGGATGAGTGGCCTATCCATGCTCTTTACATGCCCTTTAATATTTTGCATCATGAAAAAATCCCTACTTAGAAATCCTGCCTTAAGTTCGAAAAAACTTTTATCCCCCAAAAATTGTGTACTTTTAGATCTTGCTCTGATATGTTGTGAACTGTTGTGTGCAGGTAACATCAGTAATGCCCAAGGCCAACCCCCAGCACTACTTGCAGGGATGCCTGTAGGCCCAGGGGTCTCTCCTCAGCCAGGGTTCTTCTCCAGAGGGGTCTGGCTACCTGTGGTCATCACCTTTCCTAGTGGACAAGCCAAATCTACATAGTAAGCGCAAACATATCTAAGTACTACTCAGTTGTACAGAGGGTGTTTTTGGCTCTGAGGTCCTCAATACAGTAAATCGGTCCCAGGGCTAGGTCTTACCATGAGATCTATGGTATTTGCATATTTCCTATATGGGAGCTGAATGTGGTATATGTCTTAAAAGGTTTAACCAATTTTCATGTATGCTGTTTTAAAGCAATTTTTGGCAGTTGTCAGGCAAAGTCACTGGATGTCTATTACACTTGTGCAAGCTACAAGGGGCATAGTAGGAGCAACGTTGTTTAATTTTTACTGTTTTATATCACTACTAAAATAGGAGAAAGCACATAAAAGGTGGAATGATGGCCTACTATCCAGCCTTTTTTTCTTCTTTTTTTGACGCTTTATATTTAGTGGTATTTCCTCTAGTCTCACAATAATGGCTGTTGTTAGTAGATGTTCGATCTCAAACAGGCCAGATTAGTGAGTGTCTGCTGTATTCAGTTGTAAGTAGGGGTCTGCGGTGCACCGAAAAAGTCGGTACGGTACGGTACAAGCTTAATTACCGTCATCGGTTCGGTACAGCATTTTACACGGTACAAATTCGGTTCGGTACAGCCTATTATAATAATAAATTACTTTCAGTTTACTATCGTAGTCAACGGACAGTTGGTTCCGAGCACATAAAAGTCTTATCAAAAGTCTTATCAGATGTTTATTTACGATCTTCATAATTTATTACTGGGGTGATGATGCAATAAAAAACCCATTAGCAGTCCCAAATCCATTAACATTTTATCACGACAATTACATTTTATCTCGACAATAATTGTTGTATTCAAGTACTTCCAAGAACTGTTGAGTTTTATCAATTTTATATCTTTACGACTTTCCCCAATTCTATTTTATCATAAAAATAATAGTTTTATGATGACTGTTAAATGTTATCTCTAACTCAGTCAGTATTTTCTTGAATATTCAATTTGCCGCTGGCTAGGTGCTACATATTAAACTTGTAACCAATCTAATCTACAATCTTATTTATAAGTTAAAATATTTGTTATATAAATATTTTATCTTTCTATTGAGAAACCACAAGCATATTTGTTGTTTGCATAATTCTTTTTTCGTTGTTATGCAAGCCTACTCGGTCTCAAATTATGTCATTGCATGTTCTGTATCTTGTCTTACATTGTTAGATGTGGCTGTTTAAGGCTTAAATGTTTTTTATTTTCCTAATTACGCGCTACCCATATAAAATAATGTTAAATTTTTTTTTACTTTTTGATTTTTTAATGTTGTAATATTGTTTATAATCAAAAGTTGACACCCACTATGTGTGCCAGAATTTCAACCGTTTTGCCGTATCTCAAGCCGTTTTCGAGATATAAGCGTTTTTAGACAGTTTACGGACTTAGACGATTTTTCATGGTAACTTTTATTTGTAGCCTACCCATATAAAATAATGTTAAATTTTTTTTTTTACTTTTGATTTTTTAATGTTGTAATATTGTTTATAATCAAAAGTTGACACCCACTATGTGTGCCAGAATTTCAACCGTTTTGCCGTATCTCAAGCCGTTTTCGAGATATAAGCGTTTTTAAACAGTTTTACGGACACTGCCCCAAGAGCCAAGTTCGCGGTCACGGGACTGGGGAATCCCCAGGTGGTGACGTCACAGGGGACGAGTCTATATATAGAAGTGGCATAGTAATGTCAATGTATTATAGTTAAAAATAATGGTTTTAATACAGTTCTGAGAAGGAAACCGCAAAAATACGGGTAGCCGCGTACCGTACCGATTATGTACCGAGAACCGAGGTACAAAATATTGTACCGTACCGAACCGTACCGACCTTAAATTTTCTGTACCGCAGACCCCTAGTTGTAAGAAATACACCTTAACCATTCAACATGGTTTGATGTGTCCAACATGTCACAGCGTTTTGCAGTGTGGTAGCCACGTCGCTAACCACTGGTGCTTAAGTAATTCATTGAATCTCAATTGCGAGTGCCAAGTGTCGCAAACCAGGCTTTATCAGGCTCGTCCTGTCGTCGTTGATTCGTACCTTAACATACCAAAACTTCTCAGATGAACCAAGTATACATCAACCACTAAATTGTACCAAAAGATATGTTAACTATATCTTTTTTAAGCGTTTACTAAACCACCCCCAACTTCACAGAGATAAGTCTATGGGTACAGGTAGAGTTCAAAATTTTACAAGGTATTTTTAAAATAAATTCTCTCATATTTCATCTGCATATGCTTATGTGATAAAAGACCCATTTCTGTAATTAATAGCCTTACAATTCTGATTTCAGCTTGGAAATGATGGATAAAATAGAGCCACCAGCCATCCCTGATGGTTACGGCATTTCAGTGGCCTATGCTTGTTTAATGGACATCATCAGAAGCATATCCATGCTAGTCAACACTGAGGAAGGTGAAGGGGGGAAAGTGACGGATGGATCAGAGGCAGACACTCGTCTTCATGTTCAACTGATCAACTCCAGTTGGTGCGGTTTACTTGCAGCTCTTAGTCCTCTCATTGATGCAAGGTAAAGTATTTGTCAACATTAACAATATTTATTAAGCTCATAAGCTTAATTATACTACTGTTCACCAACCCCTTGTATAAATGTATACCATGCAGCCTATGCAAATTCATTAAAATCTTCAAACAAATAATTTATAGAAACAACTAGTCATGTTGTTGCAAAGAGAAATAAATCTAGCTCCCGAATCAAAGTTGACAGAACTTTATTTGGACTGTAGAATTGTAGAGTTGAGATATCCTACCTAGTAAATCTTTCAGAGGGGAATCATTCACTTAGCTTCGTACTCATATTCACATCAATGATCCAGGACCATTCCCCAGTTGAATGTCAACGATTTGCACAAACACACAATTCATAGTTGTGCTGTAATAGTACATTACGCTACTAATCCTGAAATAGATGTTTACCGGACGAGTGTGGCTGTTCAGGATTACCATACAAGTACACATTTTGGACGAGTGACGTACAAAATGTTTCTCCATACTACTTTAAACTTACCTAACAATAAAAGAAAAGAAAAAAAAAACTGTACAAATCCGTTATGTATTCCCACCGATTAAAGGACTAACATTCACTACGCATAACCTTTAAGAAAGGTTATGTTTTTGTTTAGAACCACTTATTGCCAAATTTAATCAGCTTGTGTCCAATAACAACTCATTGCCGTATAGTAGTATGTAATCAAACCCTATTTGGTGAGACAGGCGGCAAACAGCAGTTTTTCAGACTTAATTCTTTCGTGGAAGGTTTTGTTAAAACAGTGAAGTGTGGCAAAAAGGTTGTTAACCTCCCAACTCATTTAGTTAGGCCTACCATATCAGTTGACAATGGGATTATGCAATAGCTTATGGGAATTATAAAATGTTTGTACCAAATTTTCTGTCACAGCTCTGAATTTTCCTTGTATTGAATAAACCCAGTTTCAGCTTCTATCAAGCCATAATTGTGACCTTTTTCAGGGCCTTAATACACTTGTGACGTTTTCAGGCGTGTCACAAACAAAGAATACATAACACTAAACTAAACCATGGTACATGACATTGATAAATATTAGGCCTGGGTTTACTACTAATCATTAGTCAAACGGGAACATTCCACAACGGTTCGTGAAGAGCTACGTTTTCATAAACCTATGTAATACTACTGACAATAACAACAGCATTTCTTGGTAAATTCTATCTACAAATCAATCTAGGATCAAAGGACAATCTAAATCTCAGTTAAACAATAAAACAGATTTTTTAATAGTCAATTGTGAATTTTCTTCTTGAAAACATTGACTGGTGCAGTTCTAGCATATGAAGGAAGTTTATTAAAAAATCGAATGCAGTTAATTTTGTGAGATGACCCAGTTTTGGCTAATTGTGCAATGGAATATCAAGTCTCACATTCCCTCTTGTGTTGTGGTTGTGTATGCTCCTCTTGGGACAAATTCTTGTAGGTTCATTTTTATATGCATTAATAAACAAAGAATATACAAATTTACAACAGTGAGTATTTTAAGTCTAATAAATAACGGACGACTGTGCTCCACAAGGCCTGCCCCTCCAATGAGATACGCCCTACCCTAATGGCCATATATTACATTGGTTATTATGAGAACACCGCAATTGTTTCTTGTAGCCACAGCAAAATATAGTGACCACGGCGACACTGTGATCTTCTGAGATGACTGAAATATCCCAAGATTATTAACTGTGATCATTGTGTACTTAGTTAACAAAGACTAACAAAAAGCTGTTAAATAAATAGACGTTCAAGCATAGGCAATTACTCCAAATTTTCTAGTTCCAAAGAAAATTCACGTTCAATTCAAGGACTTTTTCCAGTATTAAAATTCACATACAATGCACGGTTTCTAAGTTGTCTTGACTCCTGGATTAGTATTTTAAAACACATAGCTTTGTCTTTGGTTTTTAGTTTGAACATAATAAAATTGTCTCATAACAGGTTGTTCGGAATAGCTGGATATTTCGAGTGGCAGGGTTTGGATTAGCAAGACTCTGGTTAAGTTTTGAGTTAAAAGTACGAGGGCTATCCAGGAAGTAGATTACGTTTTTGTCTGTATCCGCTAGGAGCGGGGCTAGCGCGACCATCTTGGTGTTAGTTTGTTATGTAGCTCAGTCGGCGTCTAGCCGTGCTAGTAAGAGGTTTCTGCTTTACTCCGTTGAGTTACTGTGACAGTTTAAAATGTCTGTGTTAATTGAAAATGCCACGAACTGTGAATTGTGTGCAGTTATAAGGTTTTAACTTATGACTTATAGAAATCTATCGGCAACTTTGTGAAGTTTATGGGGAAAACATTATTACTGAAGGTGGAGTTCGTCAGTGGGTCATCAAATTTAAAAATGGCCGAACTAACGTTCAAGACGAAGAGCGAATTGGAAGACCCAGCATTGTGACTGCCGAACTTGTCGAAAAAGTCTATGCCGATGTCCGTAAAACTTGAAAGTTCACAATAACAGAATTCTCTATGGGGTTTCCACAAATTTTGCGAAGTTTGTTGCACGATTTTTTGCACGCACTTCACAGTTCGCGGCATTTTCAATTACCACAGACATTTTAATCTGTCACAGTAACTCAACAGAGTACAGCGGAAGCCCTAGCGGATATAGAAAAAAAACGTAATCTACTTTCTGGATAGCCCTTGTAGTAAATATTACAAAGCTTAACATTTTTGTTTGAATACTCAGTTAATCCATGTTGTGCTTGATTGTACACAGCACTGATGAGACTACTTCAGAGAACGTATTGAAGGCGATTCAAACATTTGCCAGCATCTGTGGAAGGCTGGACCTTCAGACTCCCAGGGATGCATTTATCACAGCAATCTGCAAAGCATCACTGCCTCCTCACTACACACTAACAGTGCTGAACGCTCACCTCGGCATTGGCTACAGGAGTAAGTCAATTTTCAACTTGCAAAGCATACATTGAATTGTACTGTTTATCCTTGTGTATGAATTAGATACCAAACCAGGGACCAGGGGTTCTGGTCACTGAAGTTTATGTTAAAGTATTCTATAACAGTGCTTTCCAACCCATGGTATGCGCATGCTACTGCTGTGGTACCGGTATGTCGCAACGTTCTAAGTACAAGTATTCAAATTCAAATTCTTTATTCACTCATAACATCTTACATAGTACAATGTACAAAGACAGGAGTGTCGTCAAAAATAAAAATTTAAAAAAATACTATAACTAATAAATTCACACAACTCAAAATTATTACTACTGACATCAAGTAAAAGTTACCATTATAAAAAACAACAAATAAGATAAAATCCTGCTAAAATCAATGAAAGCCATCAGGTATGTATTCAAAGTGAATTTAGTTTACAAAATTAACCTAATTCCTGTCCGTTTAGAAAACATCAGAATAGAAATCTTCTATTTTATAATATGCCTTTTCAATTAATAACTCATGTAATTTTTCTAGGAGTATGTTTTTACTTTCTCCCCCTATACCATAGTATATGGAGAAAGTATTGTTTTCGTCAAAATTTTCGAGTTTGAGTTTTGAGTGGATATATTCGTTTTGGGTCCCCCTGGACCCAAAAAAGTGGTTTTCGAAGTGATGTCTGTGTGTGTGTGTGTGTGTGTGTGTCTGTGTGTCTGGATGTGTACAGAGCTAGAGACTACACCTGTGGTCCGATTTCGATGAAATTTGGTATGTAGGTTCTAATCTATGGTATCTCCAGGCGTTTTTTTCATTTTTTTGAAATTTTGATTTTTTATGGGGATTTTCCCATAAAAACCCATAAAAAACCGGAAAAATCGGATTTTCTCAAAAATGGCCCGAACGATTTTGATAAAAATTTAGTATGTTGTAGCCCTTTAAATGCTGAATAAAATGGTACAAATCCCATACCTGTAAAAATTACGGTTCAAAAGTTATGGTCAAATATGTTATTTTCCCATAAAAACCCCATAAAATAACGAAAAATAGGATTTTAGAAAAAATACGGTTTTGATTTAACATAGTATGTTATAGTCCTTACAATTTTGATGGTTTTTTTTAAATTTTTTAGAAATTTTTATTTTTAATAGGGATTTTCCCATAAAACCCCATAAAAAACGGAAAAATAGGATTTTCCCAAAAATGGCCCGAACGATTTTGATAAAAATTTAGTATGTCATAGTCCTTTATATTCTGAATAAAATGGTACAAATCCCATTTCTGTAAAAATTACGGTTCAAAAGTTATTGTAAATTATGTCATTTTCCCATAAAACCCCCATTAAATAACAGAAAATCGGATTTTCCCAAAAATGGCCCGAACAATTTTGATCAAAATTTAGCATGTTATATTCCTTTAAATTCTGAACAAAATTGTACAAATCCCATTTCTGCAAAAATTATGGTTCAAAAGTTATTGTAAATTATGTCATTTTCCCATAAAACCCCCATTAAATAACAGAAAAATCGGATTTTCCCAAAAATGGCCCGAACGATTTTGATAAAAATTTAACATGTTATATTCCTTTAAGTTCTGAACAAAATTGTACAAATCCCATTTCCGTATATTTACTCTCACCGCTTACACATGATAAAGGTTGTTGACAAACTTATGGGAGAAAGTATGTGTCAGAATGCTGATACCGTTTATTTGGATTGTTGGTGATTCTTTTTGGAAGTTTATTAAAAATTTTTATAGCCATGTATTTTGGTGTACGTTCAAAAAGAGTTAGTCTATGTATTGGGAATTGATATAAATGTTTCTGACGTGTGGAATAGTTATGTGTAAATTTAAACTCTTCAAAATTATCTATATTGTTAATTAATAGCTTAACTATTTCAAAAATGTACATACTTGTGATGGTTAAAATCCCTAATCTTTTAAAATGAGGTGTAGAACTGTTTTTCTTTGATACTTTAACCATGGTACGTACAATTGATTTTTGTGCGTTAAGAAGCTTTTTTGTTTTGGGACTGGATCCCCAGAGTACTATACCATACCTTATTATAGAATCAATATAGGCACAATATACTAATTTACATACTTCCAGAGATGTTACATCAATTGTAACACTTATTGCATAGCGAAAAGAAAGTAATTTTTTGTTAGATATTGAGCTAACATAAGAAGTATTATTTTGTCAGTATTGTTTGGGCTGGTGCTTCATCATTTCTTCAGGGCCTATCAGCAACAGTGTATCCTCCTGAAAGTATCCTGAATTTTAGTAGGAAAATAATATTATATTGTAAGTTTAACATATATAAACTAACCAACTGACTTCAAGCTATAATATTGGAGTAATGCGAGCCAAATCAAGTTATAGAGCCTGGTGCTCATCATTGCATACATATAACCTTAGACTGGTTGAAGAGACCAAAGTATGTGTGTGACCATACATTTTGAGAATGGCAATTACTGTTTGTGCTCATAATACACACAATATTTTTCCTACCAACTTCATTAACTTATCGTAATACACAGATTGACTTTTTAGTTATTTATTCAATGTAGTTTAGGTTTTTTTTTTTGTGGGGGCTGGGGTAGTGGCATACCCCTAGCTACTTCGGCCTGGAGACCTTTTGTAGCAAGCACCCTTTAATTCATTCTGACAGCCCTAGGCTCCTCAAGTAGCCCAGGAGCTGAAAGACACACAGCTTCCTTATCTCTGTTGGTTCCAGGAATAACCTCCCCAGAGATATAAGCCTTCTATGGGCCAACGCTGGACAGTCCAGCCATAAGTGTTCTGAGGTTTCTACCTCGTTCTCACAGAACCTGCAGAGGTCTGTCTGTGACCTCCCTATGGTCCTGAGATGTTTCCTGATAGGACCGTGCCCTGTTAACACTCCTACTAGCAGACTAATGTCCCCTTTCTTAAGGCTCAGCAAGTCTTTCCAACCTTTATCAGTGGGGTCGATTAGTAATTTGGACGTCCTCATACCTGGGTGGTTCATCCAGGCCAGAGCCTTTTGAGCCTTGACCCAGTCTTGGACTTTGGCTACTCCTGAGCTTATGGGGGTACCACAGTAGGGTTCTGGTCCTGACATTTGGTCTTCCGCACCCTTCCTGGCCAATGCATCGGCTTTTTCGTTCCCCTCATGCCCCGAATGTCCAGGAACCCAAGACAATTTGACTTGGTTTCGCTCTGCTACCTTTTTAAGGGTGTTTTTACACCCTTTTACTGTTCGTGACTGTGTCACACATGACCCCAGCGCCTTCAATGCTGCCTGGCTGTCAGAGAGAATAAGGATTTTACCCTTTCTTAGATTCTTGCTAATAATATTATTAGCACAGCACTCAATCGCCAGGACCTCTGATTGAAAAACTGTTGTTGTTCTGCCCAAGGCCAGAGATATTTTGGTTTTGTTACCATACACTCCCAGCCCTGATCTCTCATCCTTCCGACTTCCATCGGTGTAATAGACCAAGCATGCTCTGTCATTACTGAAGTTGCACTGTTGCCAGTTGTCTCTTCCCCCTATTGCAACTTGGTAAGGAATCTCGAAATCGTATTCCTTTGTCATGAGGTCTGGTGTGCCTAGTTCCATGTCCATGCTTGGGAATCCCCTCAGGATGGACAGGTGGCCAGACTGCCTCTGTAGATTCAGCTCGCCTCTGCTGCCTATTTTTAGTGCAGATATGGCTGCACATTTCTTAACTTCCAGCCCTAGTGGGAGCATGTCGAGTATTGCCTCCATTGCAGCTGTGGGACAGGATTTCATGGTCCCACAGATCCCCGAGCACGCTAGCCTTTGCAGCTGCTGCAGTTTCCTGCCTGCTGCTGTCTGCTCTGCCTTAGGCCACCATACTAAGGCTGCATATGTAACCATTGGTTTGACTATGGCTTCATAGGTCCAATGTGTGAGTTTGGGACTGAGTCCCCATTTCTTGCCAAAGGTTCTTCTGCAAGCACCAAAAGCACCTGTACCTTTTGCGAGTACATAGTCAAAGTGCCTGCTCCAGGTCAGTTTCTGGTCGAGGTAAACTCCAAGGTATTTTGTTTCCTTCACAAGTTTTACACTTTTCCCCTGAATTTTTGGGGCTGTTAGGTTAGTTCTCCTTCTCGTAAAGGAGATTATCTCTGTTTTGTCAGGGTTAATTGTGAGCCCCTCTTTGGAGCACCACCCCTCAATGAAGCTAACGGCTGTCTGGGTGAGGTTGTTCACTGTGGCTGCGTGTTTGCCTCTAACAGTCAGCACTAGGTCGTCTGCAAAGGCTTGGAGGTCTATGTCTCTCCTGTCAGCCTCTCTCAGTAGATCATCCACCACAAGAGCCCACAGCAGGGGTGAGATAACCCCTCCTTGAGGGCAACCCTGTCGAGCAATGATAGCTGTCGAGTAGCCTCCCAATTCTGCCGTCACCACCCTGCTCTTGAGCAGGGCATTTATCCAAGCTGCTACGTCGGGGGAGATGCCCCTGCTTCTGACTGCAGCCTCTATAGATTTGTAACTCACGTTGTCAAAGGCACCCTGTATGTCCATGAAGACCCCTGCTAAATTTCCTGGTGTTCTAGGGTTTCCTCGATCTTTGCCACTAGGGTACTTAGGGCCGTCGTTGTTGATTTGCCCTTCATGAACGCATGTTGGCTCGCACTTAGGGGGTTGATAACTAAATATGCATCCCTAATGTGGCGGTTTATCACTTTTTCCATAGTCTTTAGCATGAAAGACGACAGGCAAATTGGCCTGTAGGATTTAGGCTGGGCCTGGTCTCTACCTTTTTTCAGCAGAAACGCCACCCTTGATTTCTTCCAACAAATTGGGATGTAACCTAGGGCAAAGCTGCCCCTGAACAGAGCTATCATATGATTTAAAAGGACCTCTAGTCCTTCTTGGATGAGAGCTGAGAATATTCCGTCCCCGCCTGGAGACTTGAAAGGGCTGAATGAATCGACAGCCCACTTCACGACCTCCGGCTTGAACAGCTTACTCGAAAATCTTCTAGCCAATAATGCAATGTCTCTAGGTGATTTCCTATTCCAGGGTATCACGTGTTGTCCTGTTGAGTTGCCTAGTGGGGTGTTCCCTGGGAAGTGGGTGTTCATAAGGACTTCAAGAGTCTCCTCCATTCCTATTGTGTGACTCCCATCCTCCCGTTTTAGTGTACCGAGCGGGTTAGGCACATCTCTCTGAAGGGCTTTTTGCAGTCTAGCTGCTTCTGGTAGGTTTTGAATCCCCTCACAGAACTGCCTCCAGGACTTCCTTTTGCTTTTCCTTATCTCTGAGTTGTACTCCGTTAGGGCTCTTGAGTAGTTAGCCCAATCCCTAGTTCTTTTGGTGGTGTTAAAGAGTTTACGGAGTTTACATCTCATCTTGTTTAGCTTCTCATTCCACCAGGGCACATTTCTTGTTGTCCTTTTGGTTTTGAGAGGACAATTTTCCTCAAAGGCATTTAGCATTGACCTGTTTAACAGTTCTGCCTTCATGTCAAGGCCGTCAATGGTCATGAGTTGGATCACCTTTTCTTCAACTTCATCCCTGAGGGATTCCTTGTATCCCACCCAGTCTGTTGTTTTAGGAGCCCTATAAGTCAGAACGCTTTTGACGCTTGCTATCAAGTCAAACCTAATATGGCAGTGGTCAGATAGAGAGGCTTCATCAGAGACGTGCCATCCTTTTGTTTCCAGGTGACCAAGGTTTAACGATAGGGTGAGGTCCAAAATTTCCTCTCTTATTCTATTTCTGAAGGTTGGTACATTACCTATATTTTCTATCTGTAAGTCAACCTTAAATATAAATTCCAGGAGATCCTTACCTCTTTCATTAGTGTCCGAACTCCCCCAGATGGTATGGTGAGCATTTGCGTCACAGCCGAGGATTAGGGGAATCCTCTTGCTTCTAGCATACTCCACCAACTGCACCACCGCCCCCGGAGGACAAGTTTCTCCTGGGTTGGGGAAGTAGGCTGAGGCAACTAGAGCTTTTTGCCTCCCTGCAGTGGAGTCGAAACCGACTTGGATTGTTACCAAGTCACGGCTGATGAATTCTGTAACAGCTAAGCATACGTTGTTAGGGTTCATAAGGATGCAGGCCCTAGGGTTAGCAGATCCCCTATCGTATACCAGCTTACCCACCTGGGTTGGAAGACCTCGAATCGTTCCTCCTCTTACCCAGGGTTCTTGAAGGAGGGCAAAATCGAGCCCTTCGGTGGCAAACCTAGTTTAGGTTATTTTTGCCTATATGTTATTTGCTTACTGAATGTTAGTGTTTTATAGACCAACCAACAGTGAAATCAGCTTATTCAGCGAGCGAGAATGAATAAAGTGGAAACAAGCTATTTTGCGTACTGTTAACAGGTGTGGCCAGTGCTCGATTTGTAAAAAATTAAGTGCTGCAACTGTAACCTATTTAATGATATTTTTACACATTTATGCCAATATTTTTATCTTTCCAAAAGAGAGGTACCGGACCGGAACTCTGTTCCGCCGCAAATCGAGCACTGGGTGTGGCGTGGAAATGTGATCATTTCCATGCACTGGTAGGAAAAAGTGTTTTTCTTTTTGAAGTGACACGCCAAAAATAAAAAGTACTTTAATTATTTTAAAATGAAAACAATATATCAGGAGTGATAATTTGTTTGTTTTTTTTTCAGACTCGGGTGCTAGTGACATGAACATACAATACAACATGGGCATGTATGGCAGTGAGATGGACTACAAACAACAAGTAGTAGCAGTGGGGACTCCTCTACCAACTACCTCCCTACCTCTCGGTTAGTTCTTCAATCTTACTTTTTGGGTTTAACATATTGTAATTGCACTGCTAGCCTAGTGGTCATCTTTCTGATGTGAGAAGGAATGAGTTCAATCCCCGAACATCTTACAAAAAATTGGCGAGTTTCTTCCAGACATTTTATACGACTATCCAATATCCAATGTAATGTTTGTTAAAATTTATTCACAAGGCCTTTGTTTTCTATGTTTTCAACAAATTGGGATTAAATTTAGTAATTAGACACCTTTGAAACAAGGGTATTTTTTTATTTATCTGGAAGCCACCCTTTTACAGCGCGCTGGGGCGGTTGTGTTAGGTTATCATAAATATGTTTGCAGGACTTTCCTCGTTTTGTTATGAATCGATCGATTCCAGATAAGTCATACTTTTGCCTGCCAAATCCCCTCCAAGTAGGCCAAGGTCAGGTTGTTGACCGACTTAATTTAATTGTTAAGTGGTGCAAGTAGTGTTGCAATGTTTCGTTGCATCACTGTCAGTAGCAATGAGAGGTTATAAACGAAAACATACCCTCTCTTAGAAGTTATGAGTAGTGATTTTTTGCAATTAAAACACTGTCGTAGGTAAAGTAGTTGGAACGTTTGGGGTGCAATGATTGAAATAAAAACACCATTTGGGGAATTAAATAAAACCCGGCCGACTACATGGTTACGGTTTGCTAGAATCTTGAGGACTGGAGAGCAAGGAAACTTTTGGATCGGCGGTTAAACGTGGAGGGAAAAGTGGCGTGATGGGTTGTAGCCAATCCGGGAGCTTTATTGAAATCATACGATATGACGTCACAGTCACCTGATCGCAGTCAGGACACAAATGCAAAACATATTGCCAACTCTTTCTAACACAAATCTAAATATCGTAAAAATGGCAACAGTATGGTACATTATTGTATACACTACAGTAGTGTACGCAACTCGTGTAAATAGTGTTAACAGCACTCGTAGAAGTTTTTAAGGCACTCGCCAAGGCTCGTACCTTAATTTTTCCACTTGTGTCGTTATTACTATCTTTACTCAATCGTTTCTAAACTACAGTATTAGCATTGCTGTAAGTTGGGGTTATGGATCAGTGGGTTCATGTTTAAAATTTTTATTTTTATTGTTTGTTAAGTTAATGATCAGTTTTGTTTTTCTATCAGTAAAAGGTGTGTGTATGTTTAGTGATTATTTTAAAAATGAGTAAGTTTTTGCAGCAATTCTTAAACACCTTTGAGTTTCCATTTTACAGTTGAAATAAACCTTATATTTAGGATTTTTTGTGAGATTAGTCGCTTACCTGAGCAGGCTTAGCAGGTAAGCCTGCTATTCTAACAAAAAAATGCTAAAACAAAAGCCTTTGTGCTCTATGTTACATCCATGGAGTCAAGTATGAATAGAGATGAGTGTAGGATGAGTGGCGCGATCTTGTAGTTTTGTTAGTGACTAAGGCCGACATGTTCCTTAGACACAGCTGTTAATTAATAGCCCATACAGCTAATGGCAACTAAGGGATCTACAGTTTAAAGTGGATTCCGAACCACATTTTTGCCGTGTAACTAAAAAATTGGTCTAATTATCAGGACAGTACTGCGGATAGTCATAGTACTCATCAGTGTGGACATTAATCCACACCAGGGAGTATCGCATCCACAGTGCATGCCTCTAAATATCTACAACTAGTGACCTCTAAGTATCTGGATTACCGGACGACTCCATTCATACTTGGCTTAAAACACCTATATTTGTTGCCATTTCAGAATAAAGTATTAAAGTATCCTTAACCTTTAACCTTCTATTTAGTTATCTTAACAATTCAGGGTCATAAAATTAAAATAGACAATCCAGTGGGTGAAATAACACATTGCTCATTGCTGTTGTTTTGCAGGTGCCCACCAGGGTCCTGTCATGTTGACTGCCAAGAACCTACAGTGTATGAGGGCGTTACTGAGTCTCGCCCACTGTCACGGTAGCATCCTGGGCTCATCATGGCATCTGGTTCTCACCACACTACAGGTAAGCCTATACATCACTGGGAAATATTGATACTTTGCAATAATAGTCAGGAAAATTCCCTAGCTTTTTGGCAATAGGTGAGATAATACAAATATGTCACAATACAATACACAATACAAATAGTACCATGTGAAGTATGTTTTAGCTGGTCGCTGTTAATAGCAAGATTAATCAGTGTTATTTCACTTGCTCGATGTAAAAGTTCACAACGCCAAAAAATGTTGATGTTCTCAGTAATTTATTACAAAGGTACTATTATTTCATGATGCTTGGATGTTAGTTCTAATAGGCAGACAGGACCAATGGAACGGTTATTTCTAAAGTTCAGAGTATGTTAGAAAATAATAGGCTTATTCTCAGTAATCTATTACCAAAGTAACAGGTGACACTTCAAGTATTACTTAACTTGTGTGTATAAATGTTGTGGCTAGGGAAACCCACCTTTAGACCAGCTGTTTTTAGCCAGAATCATCTGTTAAAAAACCCAATAATCAAGGACAGCTAAGTCTAGTTTCAAACCATCAAAAAGTTATTGAAACTTTTTAAACACAGACTTATAACCTGATTACTAAGCAAACACTACAACCACTACCCACTACTGCATTTTCCTGCTTCTGTTCCAGCACCTAGTGTGGATTCTGGGTCTAAAGCCCTCTACAGGGGGTAGTCTCAAGGCTGGCCGAGGTACAACTGACTCCAACGCTGTCATAACCACAGCTGTCATGGCAGACCTCCCTGTACTCTCTGCAATGCTCAGTCGTCTGTTCGAGTCCAGCCAGTTTCTCAATGATGTTGCTCTGCACCATCTCATTGATGCTCTGTGCAAACTCTCCCACGAGGCTATGGAACTGGCTTATTGCAACAGAGTAAGTATATCTCAATTAACTAGGTTAGAGTTTTCCCCCAAAGCAGAACAACGAGCGACGCTGCGACATTGTCGCGGACACGAAACGCCGAGAAACGCGGGCCTGCGGACACATTTACGGAGTCATAACGACGATCGCGCCGTGGCCGCGATTATTGGACCGACGATCGCACCGTGACCGCGAGTCATAACGACGATCGGGCTGTGACCGCGGAGTCATACCGACAATCACGCCGTGACCGCGGAGTCATAACGACGATCGCGCCGTGACCGCGAAGTCCTACCGACGATCACGCTGTGACCACGAGTCATACCGACGATCACGCCGTGACCGCGATCGCGCCGTTACCGCGGAGTCATACTGACGATCATGCCATGATGGCGAGTCATACCGACGATCACGACGTGACCGCGGAGTCCTACCGACGATCGCGCCGTGACCGCAGAGTCATACCGACGATAACCCCGTGGCCGCGGAGTCCTACCGACGATCGCGCCGTGACCGCAGAGTCCTACCGACGATAACCCCGTGGCCGCGGAGTCCTACCGACGATCGCGCCGTGACCGCAGAGTCCTACCGACGATCGCGCCGTGACCGCAGAGTCCTACCGACGATCGCGCCGTGACCGCGGAGTCATACTGACGATCATGCCGTGATGGCGGAGTCATGCTGACGATCGAGCCGTGACCGCGAAGTCCTACCGACGATCGCGCCGTGACCGCAGAGTCATACCGACGATCGCGCCGTGACCGCAGAGTCCTACCGACGATCGCGCCGTGACCGCGGAGTCCTACCGACGATCGCGCCGTGACCGCAGAGTCCTACCGACGATAACCCCGTGGCCGCGGAGTCCTACCGACGATCGCGCCGTGACCGCAGAGTCCTACCGACGATCGCGCCGTGACCGCAGAGTCCTACCGACGATCGCGCCGTGACCGCGGAGTCATACTGACGATCATGCCGTGATGGCGGAGTCATGCTGACGATCGAGCCGTGACCGTGAGTTCTACAGACGATCACGACGTGACCGCGGAGTCATACCGACGATCGCGCCGTGACCGCGAGTCATACCGACGATCGCGCCGTGACCGCAGAGTCCTACCGACGATCGCGCCGTGACCGCAGAGTCCTACCGACGATCGCGCCGTGACCGCAGAGTCCTACCGACGATAACCCCGTGGCCGCGGAGTCCTACCGACGATCGCGCCGTGACCGCAGAGTCCTACCGACGATCGCGCCGTGACCGCAGAGTCCTACCGACGATCGCGCCGTGACCGCGGAGTCATACTGACGATCATGCCGTGATGGCGGAGTCATGCTGACGATCGAGCCGTGACCGTGAGTTCTACAGACGATCACCCCGTGACCGCGAGTCATACCGACGATCGCGCCGTGACCGCGAGTCATACCGACGATCGCGCCGTGACCGTGGAGTCATACCGACGATAACTCCGTGACCGCGGAGTCATACCGACGATCGCGCCGTGACCGTGAGTCATGACGACGATCGCGCCGTGACCGTGAGTTCTACAGACGATCACCCCGTGACCCGCGAGTCACAAGTTTCTATAGGTACCTGTAAATTGTTACCCATTTTTTGGTTTTTATAGATCAGTGCCACAAATGGTAAAAATTGATTTTGTATGTCTTTTTTGGTAACTGCAATACAGTACTTTTTTTATGCACAGAAAAAAATCCTGTCCCATCCCGTCCCGAAAATCGGGAAGGAAATAAAAATCCCGTCCCGTCCCGAACTAAAATTTCAATCCCGTCCATCCCTAGTGTGTTTATATAAAGAAACTATAGTACATTTAAAGTTTTACTTCTGAAGACCTTGTTAACACTTGTTAAGGTATGTGTATATATATATACGTATTTAAAAAAAAGTAAATTTAAATAACCTGATTATGCCTACCCCTTAATAGTTTTTTTAGTTTTTTGTTTTAAAAGTAGGCTATACAAGTTATTGAAATTTACTTATTTTATTTAACTATATTACTAGTAGCCCTAAAGAGTGAATATATATATATATATATATACCGGTATATAAGTCATTATTTAGCTTTTTAGTTTTAGCGCTTGCGGACACATTTTGAGATTTTCACAGGCCGTTGCAGACACGTAGGAACCATTCTGCTTTGGGGGAGTTTTCAAATAAGTTAAGGCTGATTTTAAGTTCTGCAGGAAATCTCATGAATTGTGTAAGTTTGATTTACTTTATCCAATTATTTGTTTAAAAAATTCTGACATTTTACAAAAGTTTATTAATAACTTGTTGCAAAAACGAGAGATAATAGGCTTGTATGCAGCACAAAGATAAACTTGTTGATAAATATAAATTTTGTTTGTGCTCAGCCAATCCCTATCATAATTTTTGTCATCTCAGTCTAGTCCAAGTCTGCCTCACTGTATTGTTGTTTTCACTTTCATAACATCTACCTAAACCTAACATTAATTATTTTTAACAATAATGTAGGAGTTGAACAATCACCCACAGTAAATAAATATTAATACTCTGTAATTCGTGTGTACGCCCCAACGAGGGAGCTAGCTGCTGATAGGCATCATTTGGGAACAGAATCTTGCCATTTGCAGCTCTGTAGCTGTAAAGTATGCTTTACTGTGTGTCTATATTTTCTTTAGATCATTGATTCTCCTGCCACATTGTGAGAAAAGTTAAGTACCTTTTTTGATTACAAGAAACATATCCCATGCAGACTTTCATCGTAGGATGACTGAAGTTTTGGGCCCTAATGCAATGAGTGAGGGTAAAGTGCGGAAACAGGGGAGTTCATTTTTTAGGAGTTTATAAATGGCCATAAAAATAATACTTGTTATTATCACAGATATAATAGCTATATTAGCAAGGCTTACTCTGTATTAGGCCCGATTCTATTCATCTTATTGACTAATGACTTCCCCAAACAAATTGAGAGTGAAAATGCTGTTGCAATCATGTATGCAGATGACACAACCATTTTGATCAAGGACAACACAGCCCAAAGCCTTTACCTTAATTCAAAATTGATCTTAAATAAAGCTATCCTCTACTCAAAGAACAATGACTTAGCAATAAATCCCACAAAAACTACAACTCTGAATTTCAGTAAGAAAAAAGACATAGTCCCTCAATTAGAGGATGTAACAATAGAAAACTACACAAAATTTCTCGGTGTTATCCTTGATAACAAACTGACATGGAAAGAGCACATCTACCACCTAAGCAAAAAAATCAGTACTGGAATATATGTCGTCAGAAGGATAAACTACATAGGCGGACTCTCTGTGGCCAAAACAGCTTACTTCGCACTGGTAGAGTCGCATCTTAGATATGGCTTGACAGTGTGGGGAGGAACTTCAACAAAAAATATGAATCGAATTCTTGTCCTTCAAAAGAAAGCCATAAGAGCCCTCGCCAACCTTGTACCACCACAGACTTGCAGACTAGCATTCGTAAACCTAGGAATCCTCACAGTGGTGTCTCTCTACATACTTGAAACCATTAAGTATGTGAATGAAATAAACCCCCCAAGAAACCAAGACCTGCACCACTACAACACCCGTCATGGCTCCAAATTTGCACTACCAGTTCACCGAACAACTCTTTGGGAGAAAAAACCTTCCTACACCGGCTGCAAGCTGAGGAACCATCTACCTGACTACCTGAGAGACCTGACTGGCAACAAGCTACACCAGGAGCTGAAGAAGTGGCTAATCGCAAGACCCTTCTACTCAATAAAGGAATTTTATGAAAATTAACATGTACAATTCACTATTGTATTGACACTATTGTAATTCTTGACGAATTAACAATAAAGAATATTGTATTGTATTGTATTGTATTGTATCAAATTTCCCATATTAGGAATAAGCTATTACCGTAGGTCTCATGGTAAGACCTAGTTGTGGGAACGATTTACTTCTTCGTTTTGAGGTCACCAGAGGCCAAAAACACCCTCCGTCCAAATTCATGTATATATGTGTGGTCCGTTAGCGCGATAACTCGAGCAAAAATTACCCGATTTTGATGAAATTTGGCACAAACGTGTAAATATACGTTTATTCGAACTAGTATGATCAGACTATGGGAACAGAGTTTTATGGGGTAAAAATTGTTTTTTTCCAATAACAAAACAACATTTCACTATTTCATTTCGAACCATTTTGTAGAGCTAAAAAAAAATAGGTAATAATTTTGTATATTGGAGCGTTGTTGTATGCCTAACGGTTACAGAGATTATTTAATAAAATTAAAATTTAAAATTCCCATGCTATTCTTATGGAGAATAAATCAACTGTAGTAGTTTGCTTGTTTGTGGATATATTTTAATCAAATTTTGCCATTTTATCCATTTCATACTAAGCCAACAACATTTCAATAAAAAACACACCTCAATACACTCCCTGTAGCAGTAAACCTAAGTATTCATTAAAATTAATATTATTTAAATAGGAATTATAAATCTGACACTTTTAAGAGAATATTTTAGTAGAAATCCAGCCAGGTAAATGGAAATTCGCTTAGTCTGCAGGTTTGCTGAATACGTTCCACGCACGGGCAGTTAGTCTATGTATGTGGACGGGCAAATGCAAGGTTGAAAGAGGCTGCCAATCTCTTAAAAAAACAAAAAAAACTAGTAGATTAGATACAATAATAGGGGTTGGGAAGGGTGTAGACTAGGGCAATGAGATAGTATTTAGTTATATACAATATTAGTTTGTTATACCAAGCCGGTCTTGGTCTCGTTGTCCAAATTTCCAATTTATTATAATTAATATTTGAATTCACGTTAGCTAGCCTACTTGTAGATACATTTATGAAATCAGATTAGACCATTTATATAGTTAAATATCTGTTCACTATTTATTAATTAGATGTATTAAATAACATAAAAGCTAGCTGTGATATGCAGCTGAGGTATTATTGTGCACTTTGACGAGGTTGTTAGTTTCATTTGAGTATGGTTAGAGTAGCGACAGGAAATGTGCGTGATTTAGCGGTGATTGGTAGAAGATATATTGGGCCCAGGTATCATAATTAACAATCAGTCAGCCGCATTTCGCCACACAAGTTTGGGTAAACTGGCAAACACTTTCAACTGCCACAGCCCTAAATATAATCTATAATCATTTTCATGAGAAATGCAATGATTCGTTTCCATTTCATTAATTTTATGGGCCTCCAACTATTAATGGATTTTTCCCTTAAGTAAGATTTTAACCACACTAACCCCTGTTGCTTTATATATACTTACACCACCCTTGTCTCTGTGTAATGTAACATTTATTTCAATACAATATTTTCAAATCCACAAGCAAACCAGATATTTTGTTACCTGTTCAATATGTAATTGGATTTCAAAAGACGTTATGTCATATAAGGTGATCCAAATAAAGCAATCTCATTAGAGATGCATTCTTTGTGCCTCATATCTCTACCTCTGACCAGCACCCACCAACTGTAACCACAGTCAGTCGTCTACGTACTAACAGTTCTATTACACCTGACTATTCTAAGACATCCAAAGTATTTCTATCAACCCTCTTTGTTTGCAGGAACCATCTTTATTTGCAGTAGCCAAGCTGCTAGAGACAGGGTTGGTGAATCTACCAAGGGTTGAAGTGTTGTGGCGACCTCTGACCAACCATTTACTGGAGGTGTGTCAACATCCTCACATCCGCATGAGGGAGTGGGGCGTGGAGGCCATCACGTACTTAGTCAAGGCGGCTCTCCAGCACAAGTACCAACCACCGCTGAAAGACAATCAGGTACGCATCTGTACAAGTAGTGCGAGAAATGTCAGGTGGTACAAGGGTTGGCCGTAAATTACAGTCTCCATAGAGTTATAGTCACCACCTAGCAAGCTATTTTACTCCATCTACATCCATCAACTTACAACAGATGATGGTCATTAGGACCTCTTTGACCTATTTCTGCAGAAATTATATGATAATCAAGTTGTTTTTACTTGGCTTATATTTTCCCTCACATTGTTATCGGTTTCTACAAGACTAATTTTTGATCATTGACATGTAAATTGTTAATTTATTTATTTTAGAGTTAATTATGTTAATAGTTATATTTTAAAGAGTGATTGCTACTCACTTGGTGCATTCTTGCTGTTAGGCCTACTCTAACACGAAATTAACTGTACGTATTATTAAAAAAAAAAAAAAAACGTTGACGATGTCTATTGTAATACTTGTATTACTTAATGACAAATAAAGATCTTGAATCTTGAATCTTAATCGCCTCGGTGGTTTGGGAACCAACCAGGTGAGTTGTGAGGCAAGTGAACAAAATCATGGTGTTAGTGTCAGGGTTTCACAAGATTGCTTTGCCACTCCAGTAGACTCCCTCTTATCCGGACACCTTTTAACTGAACATCGATTTAACCGGACTACACTCGGCGGAAATGACATCTCTTTAACCGGACAATTTTTATCAGCACATCGGTTTAACCGGGCTAGATTGGCAGGAAGTGGGCGGTACTGAAACGACCGTTCTTGTGGAAAAGATTTTAGACCAGTCTTCACGTGTCTAAATACAATGCTCTCCTAAATTTAAGTCAAATAGGCAGTTAAACGGTCCGTTATTACGAGTTTTTGGGGACGTCGGTTTAACCGGAAAAACCGTTATCCGGACTGGCCTCGGTCCCAAGGAGTTCAATAAGATGGAGTCTACTGTACTGGAGCTCGTTGTAGACCTTAATTTACAGACAACCCTCCTAAGCATATTTTCTCATATTATTTGATTATTTCATTTCAGCAACATTAATAGCTATAGCTCAAGATAGTTCTACCTTTCTCATTAGTGTCGCTAAAGTTATATGCTCAAAAGATAATTTTTAACTATAGAACCAACTGGTAAAATAAAATATTTTAACATTTTAATAATTCCATTTATGATCTGTATGCTCAAATTTGTTCAATTTAGTAACTATTGATCAGGTTTTATTGTAAAGCAACAATCTCTTAAATTCAATTAGTTTGTCAAATTTACTTTACTTTAATTAATTTACTTTAACCCACAAAATCAATTGATTTCAGCTGAGGTCTTCCTATGAGGTAAACACGGTTTTTTTAAAACTTGAATTTGAATTATTGCCTTAAATTTAGTTTCTTTGCCTTACAGAAACTACAAACATTGCTGTTGGGACCTTTATCAGAGCTGTCGTCAGTACCTCACGGAGACGTGAGACAGCGTCAGCTAGAGTGTGTGTTACAAGTTCTGCATGGCTCAGGAGAGACCCTATCACATGGCTGGCCACTGGTGCTGACTATCATTGGTGCAGTCAGTGATCAGCATGGGTAAGTACTAAGTGTCAACCTTACAAGTGCTGACATCATGTTATCCTTGTATCAACTCGGCAGTTCTTACGACAGCTACTTCCCTCCAAGATCATGTTTCAAAGTTACTCACAGGTCAACAATAAGCAGATATTAAAACATATTAAAAAAAAAATTCTTTTGTCAGTACTGCTAACCTTCCGAGCCTTTAACATGTCCACAGCAGTTGCTTGATAGCTGGTGGTGGGAACAGCTAATGCACTGCGTGGATGAGTGCAAGAATACATGTAAATTCAGTTTCTTCCAAATGAGAGGCAAATTGTAGCATGTACTGCCTTCCAGTCATTGTAGATGTAGTTTTACTTAAACCCAACAGATATCAGCACCAAACAAAAATGCTAGCTGCCCCTCAGTATTGCGAAATATAAGGTAAAAGAAGGGGCGAAGTCTCGGGAGCGGGAGACACCTTTAAAAATACCACAAAAAAGGAGTCAAACACAATTTTGAGGTTAGGTTCCTTCAACAATGCTATACTACAGTCATTATCGTTATTCTATTCTATTTCACTATTCTTATTCTTATCCAAGCCTAATCTTCACTCTAAAATAATAAAATGTGGAACAGTCCCCATTACCGATAAAATAGTCGGTTCTGAAAATTAATTCTTCCGGATTGAAGTATAAAACTGGCAAAATTAAGAGGCGATCTTTAAGATCTTTAAGACTACAAAGTCCATTGCAATATGACATGGTTTAAAAGACAGAAAAATAACTGTATTGGCCACAAACTCAAAGTTCAAATTTTCAAAGTTCAAAGTTTTTCTCTTTTCATTGACATTTTTAGTACATAAAAAATATGTATTCTTTTGATGGTGTATCAACTTCTAGATTTTTGTTAAGAATTTTACATCTGCCTGACACCATAGACTCCTGGTCTGTATTGTCATCAAAAGACAGTAAAGTAGGCCTACCGCTAAAGTACAAAGTACAAGGTATCCGGAAAAATCCAAGATTTTAATGATTTCAAGATTTGCAATGACTGTGCATGAGGATTATTCAAGATGATTAAACGATTTAAATACCAAATTGAAGGTTTTTTTCATAGTTTGATAAAATTTGGGAAATCTGAATAGGTACAAAAAATCTGAATTTGGGTCATCAATCTAAATTCAGCATAGAACTGGCAAATTTTGTATGCTTAGGGCAATCAGCGGGTTTATTCTGATGTCTTAACTGAATTTTGTTGGCACAAAATCTCAATCTTTTACAAATAACATCCTGGAGTGTCATTTTAGTATGTTTAACTGAAGACTTAGTTGGGCAATTGATTTGTTTCTACTTCTTTCCACATCTTGAGTCATCGTTTTTGGGCAAATTGAAATTCAAATTATCTTTATTTATATTATGTACAAAACGTACAATAAATAGTGTCAAGCTTATAATTACTATGTACAAATACTTAACCTAAACAAAAAATACAGAAAATAAAACTATCTATAGCTGTATACATTCATAAACAGTTCATCTATTGAGTAGATGGGTTTTTCTATCAAAAATTCTTTAAGTTTTTGTCTAAACTTTTTTTTATCCTTAATATCTTTTATTTCATCTGGTATTATCTTTAAAAACTTTACACCGGCATATGAGGGCTTATTTTTATACATTTCTAAGTTGTGTTTCGGTAGAACTATATTATTTTTGTTTCTAGTGTTGTATTGATGGGTTTCACTATGTGTTTTAAATTTTTCCTGGTTATTTTTTACATGTATTATACATTCGAGTACGTACAAACTAAACACAGTTAATATTTTCAAATTGACAAATTGTTGCTTTACAGACTCATTATAATCTAGATTTAACATTATTCTTATTGCCTTTTTCTGTAAAACAAGTATCTTATCTAAATTTTTTTGGGAAGTGCCTCCATACACTACTATTGCACAAGATATATGTGATTGGATATGGGAATGAAAAACTATTTTTAATGTTGCTAGGTCACTCAAATAAAACATTCTTTTCAAGGCATAGATTCCAGAATTTACCTTACGCACAATGCTTCCTACATGATGATCCCACCTAAGACATTCATCAATATGGATACCTAAAAATTTTGTACAATCAATTTGATTTATTGTGTTGTTGTCAATAAAAATATGAGGGCTACACTTATATAGTTCTGCTTAGTACTGAAAGAAATAAAATTAGTTTTTTGTGAATTTAGCATTAATCGATTGTTTACAAAAAATTCTTGGATTTGTGATAATTCTATATGAGCTACTACTTCCAAATCCATCTGACATTTAGCAGATACAATAAGATTAGAATCGTCAGCATACTGTACGAGTTTAGAACTATATATTACATTGTTACCTAGACAGTTTGGCATATTCTTAACGTAACAAATAAAAAGCAAAGGTCCAAGAATAGACCCTTGCGGGACGCCATGCTTCATACTTTGTGTTGCGGAGGGAATTTTTGAAATTATAGAGTTGTTTATATGACTGATTTCTGTAAATTGCTGCCTGTTGGTGAGATAAGACCTGAACCACTGCAAAGGAGTTTTTTGAATCCCAAGATAATGCAATTTCTGTAACAGCCTTTCATGTGATATACTATCAAATGCTTTGGAAAGGTCCATGAAAATACCAGCAACACATTCTTTTTTGTCTATTGATTGTATAATTGATTCCGTAAAATTGATCAGAGCTGTGGTGACAGATTTATCTTTGCAAAAACCATGTTGTTCGTCATCTAAAAGACTATTTTGTTCTAAAAATAGCATGAGTCTTCCATGCATGGCTTTTTCAAAAACTTTTGAGATTGAAGGGAGAATAGAAACTGGACGATAATTTTCTACATTAAGTTCATCCCCTTTTTTGTAGATTGGTATGATTTTAGAAATCTTCAATTTATCCGGGAAGATGCCAGAAATGAATGATGAATTTATCAGGTGTAATAAAGGCTTTATCAATGCGATTTTTGAAAATTTTATAACTGTTATTGGTATTTCATCATATCCGGCAACCAGGTGAATGCCTTTTCAAATCAGTTCCTATGTCACAAAACTGATTAAACCAGCCCAATTACTTTATCATTGGGTGAATTTATATTTAATTTAATTTAACAACCAATTTAAACCTTGCGAATTACAGATCACACTGAACCCTCGGCCACATGCTGGCGAATGGTGACAGGCTTGTGAGATACAAGGGCAGCCTGCCACCGTGCACCTGTTTTGTGCATGGCAAGTTAGCGTGTCCTCTCTTACTACTAAAAAAACGAAACTTAGTCATATCAACTCCAAATTTACGTTTAAATCATTTAGTCCCGAAGCAATGACCGTTTGCCCTGTATAAGTCATCTAGACAAGCCAATGGTAACCACTAACCAGCCTTGACCCAGCAATGTACTGTATATACAATAACAAAACCCATCGGATTCTACTATAAATATTTGGTCTACCGAGACTCCGACTGAAGATGAACCTTCAGGTCCAAAATTAAAATCGAATAGTACAATACAATATTAGGATTGCTAAAACAAGACCTTACATTACCAATTAATTTTAAATAAATGTTGATTCTAGTACAGAGCAACATGTAACATTAGATAGGCTACAACTAATTCTAGGAAGTGTGTAAAATATTCAAGCTGGTGTGCGAGAATTTAGGAGAGTAAATAAATCAATCTTTGTGTGATATAGTATCAAATTTGTATTTTTAACAATTTGCGGCTTTAAGTGTTCATGTTAAACATTTTCTGCTTCATAAATAGTTAATTTTTGGTATTTTTTTATACATAAAAAAATGCAAACTTACAATCTTATACAATTTAGCTACAAAATCCAATAATGGCTTGTCTGCAGCAATTATTATAATTTTGGTTATTTCACACTGCTTTTATTCAATCAATCTTTTAGTTTTCTTGTTTTTATGTAAATTAACTATGACATAACATCATGTAGATTTTTGAACTAATTCATTTACAAGAAAGTTTATTTTAACAATTTGTCTTTATTATTTCAGGGAAAACTTGATTCGTGTGGCATTCCAGTGCTTGCAGCTAGTGGTGACTGACTTCCTGCCGTTGATGCCTTGGAGATGTTTGCCACTGTGCCTAGAAACTACTTCAAAGTTTGGGTCTCAGACTCAAGAGCTGAACATTTCACTCACTGCCATAGGTCTGATGGTAAGGAATGTTTAATCAACCAGAAGATTATAATTAGTTGTCCTTATTTTTTTTATTTATTTAGATG